GGCCGCCCCTCTCGTCCCTGCAGCGAGAACGACGCCTCGTCTGAGAACGAGCAGCTGCTGAGCCGAAGCGTGGACAGCGACGAGGAGCCGGCCCCCGACAAGCAGGGCTCCCCTGAGCTGTGCCTGCTGTCGCTGGTGCACCTGGCCAGGGAGAAGCCTGCGCCCAGCAACAGGGCCGCCGGGGTGAGGCTTCCGTGGGCACCCGTGTGCCGGGAGAGGCGTCTCGCTGCGCCCGAGACCCCGACTCTCCCCGTGAGACAGGGTGTTTCTTCCCAAACCCGAGATGGGAAACCTGGACGGCGAAGCAGTGGACAGGGAGAAACGCTGTTCCCTTCATGATGTCACTTTAGAGATGAAAACGAAAAACCATAAGCAAAGAGAAAAAAGTTAAAATCTGGAATGCCGGGGACAGGAAAAAACCTGATAAACACATTGGCGTGTATCCAACCAGACAATTCTCTACACACACACACATTTCTTGTGTGCAGATTTTTAATGTAAAGGTAGGCTCCCATGTACAAATGTCCCAGGGTCAGGTCACCTGCCACAGGCCGCCCTGGACGGTGCTGTGGCCCGGGCCTGAGGGCAGAGGTGGGCAGAACCCTCCCTCTACTCTGGCCCCGGGCCCCAGATCCAAGCCACAGGACAGCCGCACTGCTAGGCCACCTCGCTGGTGCTACAAATGCCCACCAGGGATCCTGGCCCCAGCCTGCCACGAGTTCAGTGCCCCTGTCACGGGCCACCACCTGCAGGGCCCCTGGCCAGGGCGTGGGGCTTCTCAGGGCCTCTGATCGCCTGCGCCATGGGTCTCGCCTCCTGCTCCGTGCTCTGGGCAGGGACCCCCTTGGCTCTGCAGCCCCAGCTGCCCCCAGGTTGGCGGCTTCCGTGGCCATCCTTCCAATGGGCTGAGGCCAGCTCTGGCCTTGGGGTCGCGCGTGTGACCACCCAGTCTGGCCTGAGACATGCTTGCCACCTCATGAGCCCCGGAGATGTCTCAGTGTGAAAACCCAAACCCAAAAAAAGCACCTTCCACTGTGAGTCAGAGCTGAGTTTTTGGTGTGCGGACTCAGGGGCGATGAGGTCTCCTGGGTATCAGGGAAAGCCGCTCTGTCCAGGTGGAGGCGGAGAATCTGGGTCTTTGCTGCCGCCGTCCCCTTTCTGAAGATTAACGTCCTGCTAACTCTTTCTTGCAGATTCAGAGCCGGAGGAAAAAGATCCTGGACGTGTATGCCAACGTGTGTGGCGTCGTGGAAGGTAAGCCCAGAAGAGCCCCTCGGGGCCGTGCGCCCCAGGCGGTCCCCACCGACCTGCCCCAACACCCGCGGCGGGAAGGGGCCCCGGCGGGAGTCGTGTGCTCCTGGGAGGGACTGAGGAGGGCCTCCTCCCGGCCGTCACGCTGCTCATCTGAGGGCTGCCTGAACCGGCTCCAGCGGCCGAAGCGAATCTGGCTGCCGGCTGTTGGAAGGCAGCTCCCGGCGGTCCTGGCAGCCCTTCAGCCCTTCCCAGCAGGACAGGAGACAGCGGGTGTGGGCACCGCCAAGGGGCGCGTGGGGCAGGGAGCAGACGCCGTGGAACCCCGGAACCTCGAGCCCCCAGGGCCCCCGGGCTTCAGCCCGGAAGCACGACGGGCCATTCATCCCGCGCCTGGCCACGTCCCAGGGCCATGGGAGCCCCTCGCCTCCTCCCAGCTGTCTCCTGGGAATCGGGGTTCTGACAGGTTGGAGGCCGCGGGACCAGGAGCAGAAACAGCGGTGTCTGACACCGTGACCCTCGGCTCCCGATCCCTCCACAGTCCAGCCTCCAAATCGCCTTTGTCTTCGCCCCGAAGACAAACCCACCACGGCCGAGGGCAGGGATTTTCCCAGCCCCTGTCCCAGACACCGCCCGGTCTGGTGGGCAGTGGGAGTGGACCCTGCCCCCGGCAGCTCATGCCCTGCTCCCCTTCCTGTGGGCCGAGTGCGGCCTCCTGAGCCCGGCAGTCTGGCTGGCTGGGTGCTGCACTCCGCTGGCCAGAAATAACGACACGGTGCTGAGCTCCAGGGCTGAGCATTCTTGGCCACCTGCCCGACTGTGGCATCCCTCCACCCATACGTGCCCCGGGTCCGCCTGCCCGCTCACGCCCAGGGTAGCTGGGGCTGGAGGATGGTCTGGGACGGGCGTTCCACTGCCCAGAAAGCTCGTCTCCGTTCCAAGGAATGCTAGGCATCCCCCGCCGGGACAGCGGTTCTCCAAGTAACTCCAGGAACTTCGCGTGCAGAGAAGCCCCTCCAGCAGGCCTGGGAGGGGGAGGCGCTCGCAGCCCTGGGTCCCCAGCCTCGCCCGCGGCCTGAGCCCTCCTCCCCCACGGTGGCCGGCACACAGCCAGGGCGGGGACCTCGGTCTGGACGCCCGGCCCAGCCTGAGGAACATCAGTCACCTCCGGCCTCAGGCCATCTCTGCCTGCCAGCCCCGCACCCGCCGCACACCCTGATGGAGTCCGTCAGGGTGACCCCAGGCATCCCCGTCCCTTTGGCTTTTTTGCTTTTAATTCAGCCTTTTATTTTGAGATGCTTCTCACCACGCAGTGGTGAGAGACAGCACCGAGAGCCTGCGCGCCCGCTACCCTATTCCGCCTAGTGGAAAACCGTACACAACAGCCGCAGGCCGGACATTGATGCTGACACGGGGACGCTACACACCATCCCCGTCACCACAAGGGCCCCTCCTGGTTGCCCTTTTATGGCCACCTCCAATCTCTGTCCACCCCACCCCCTCCTAGGCGCCCGGCAACCACTACAGATCTGTTCTCCGTTTCCATAGTTTTGTCATTTCAACGATGTGACATAGCTAGAGGCACATAGTATGCACCCTCTCGTGAACATCTCACTTGGCCCAATTCACTGGAGAGTCATCTGGGTGGCTTCATGTCCCAACAGGTCATTCCCTCCTATTGCCAGATAGTTCTCTGGGGTGTAGACGGGCCAGAGCTGGTGTGACCAATCACTCTGGGTTGCTTCCGGCTAGGGGCCATTATGAACAAGGGCGCTACAGACGTGTGTGAACAGGGGTCTGTGTAAGCATAAGCCATCGCTTCTTTGAGACAAAGGCCCAGGAGTGCATGTGTTGGGTCACAGGGTAGCTGTGTAGTGAGTGTTTTGCAGCCTGCCAAGCTGTCTTCCAAAGTGGCCGTACCGTTTTACATTCCCACTGGCAATGGATGAATGATTCAGTTTCTCCTTGTCCTTGCCAGCATTGTTTAACTGTGGTCATTCTGAGGTGGGTTGTTCTATCTCATGGTGGTTTTAAAGTGCGTGTCCCTGATGTTTGACCATCCCGTGTTTGTCATCTGTATGTCAGCAAAATGTTTCTTTGCATCTTTCACCTTCCTCACGTCAGTTTTCTAATTGGATGGTGTGGTTTTCTTTCTGCTGTAAAGTTTTGAGAGTTCTTTATGTATTCTAGATACTAGTCTTGCGATGAATATGTGGTTATGAATATGTTCTTCACTTCGTAGCTAGCTTAGACAGGGTCTGTCAACAGAGCAACGTTTACAATTTCAAGTCAAGTTTATAAAACATATTATAAAGTCTTCCTTTATGGATTGTGCTTTCAGTGTCAAGTCTAAGATCTCTTCTGCCTAGCCCTAGATCTCACAGACGTTCTCCCAGGATTGTTTTCTAAAAGTTGTATGTTTTATGTTTTGCATTTAAGCCCATGATCAGTTTGAACTGAGTTTTATGTAAGGTGTGAGACTTTGGTCAGGTTCATTATTTTCACCTAGAGATGTCTAATTGCTCCAGCGCCATTTATTGGAAAGCTCTTTCCTCCATGGAATTGCTTTTGTGCCCTTGTCAAAAATCAGTCTGGCACATTGTGTAGGTCTGTTTTCTGGGGTCTCTGTTCTGTTGCACTGACCTATGTGTCTGTCTCTGACAATATAACACAGTCTTGATTCCTTTAGAAGTTATGTATTATAAGTCTTGAACTCAAATAAACTGCTCTCATTGTATCCTCTTTTTATTTCAAAAATCTTTTACCTCTTCTAGTTCCTTTGCCTTTCCATTTAAATTTTACAAGAATCTTCCATATTATATATATATGCATATATATACATATATATATATATGCATATATATCTATATAGATTATATGCACACACATATAGATAGAGATAGAGATATATCTTGCTGGAATTTTGATAGAAGTGTCATCAAACTTGTATATCCAATTTGGAGAGATTTGGCATCTTTATTAGGTTCAGCCTTCTAATCCATGAGCATGATCTTTCGCTTCATTTATTTAGGTCACTTTTGATTTCTTTCATCAGCATTGTGTAGTTTTCAGAATAAAAATTATGTACATATTTTCTAGGCTTACACCTTAAGTATATCACTTCATTTTTCAGCAATTGTAAATGAAATTTTATTTTAATTTCAGTGTCTGTGTATTCATTGCTAGTATATACAAATATAATTGATTTTTTTATGTTTATCTTGTATCCTGTGACCCTGCTGAATTTTATGATAAGATCTGGGTGTTTTCTTGTAGACTTCTTGGATTTTCTACCTAATCATATCTGTAAATGAGACCGTTTTATTTCTTCCTTTCCAAATTGTATGCCATTCTTTTCCTTTTCTCACCTCACTGCACTGGCTATAACTTCCAATACTTCATTGCATAAGAGTGATGAGAACAGAAGTCCTTGCCTTATTTCTGATTATGAAAGGAAAGCATCTAGGTTTTTTATAAATTGTGTGAGTAGATTACAAGAATTTTTGAATAGCGAATCAGCCTCAGCTTCCTGAAATAAACCCCTCCCAAGGGTGAACAACTTTTTACATGATCAAATTTTATTTGCTAATATTTTGTTAAAGATATTGTATCTATATTCATTAAGGACATTGGTCTGTGACTTTTTTTTTCCCTAGTTTTGGTATCAAGTTAATACCACCCTCACAGAATGAGTTAGAAAGTGTTCCTCCTTTTCCATTTTCTGGAAGAGATTGTGTAGAATTGTTATTCATTCTTTCTTCAACATTTGGTAGAGTTCTTCAGTGAAATAATGTGGATCTGGAGATTTCTTTTGGGAAGATTTTTAAAATTACAAATTCAACTTTCTTAAATATGTCTATTCAAATGATCTAGTCTATATTGGGTAAGTTGTGGTAATAATTGTGCTTTTTGAGGAATCTTTTTTTAAAATCTAAGTTGTCGAATGTATGTGTGCATAGTTAGAGTTGCTCACAGTATTCTGTTGTCATCTTTTTTAATGTCTGTAGTGATATTTCACTTTGTTCTTGATATTGGAAATTTTCATCTTCTCTATGTTTTCTTTTTTTCCCCCTGAGTTGTAGCCTTACTCCATCACCCAGGATGGAGTGCGGTGGCATGCTCATGGCCACCCCAGCGTCGACCTGCTGGGCTCCGGTGATCCTTCCGCCTCAGCCCTCCAAGTAGCTGGAACTATAGGCACACCCTACCGTGCCCAGCTACTTTTTGACTTATTGCAGAGATGAGGTCTTGCCAAGTTGCCCAGGCTGTTCTGGAACCCATAGGCTCAAGCAGTCCCCTCACTTTGGTCTCCCAAGTGCTGGGATTACAGGCTTGAGCCACTGAGCCCAGCTTTCTTTTTTTTTCTTTGTCAATCTTACTAGAGATTTGTCGGTTTTATTCATCTTTTAAAATAACTTAGCTCTTTTCATATTGATCTCTACTGGCTTACTCTTTTTAATTTTATTGATTACCACTCTTATTTTTATATGATTCCTTTCTTCTGTTTACTGTGGGTTTATTTGTTAATCTCTTTCTAGATACTTGAGATAGGAGCTTACATAACTAACTTGAGTGTTTTCTCCTTTTGTAATGTATGCATTTGTGCTACAAAATTCCCTCTCAGTACTAATTTAACTGTGACACAAATATTGATATATATATTCTATTTTTATTTTCATTCATTTTTAAATTTCCTTTTAGGCTTCCTCTTTGACCCATGGATTATTTAGAAGAGTGTTGTTTTGTTTTCAGGCATGTGAAGATCTTCCTATTATTGATTTATATTTTAATTCTGTTACAGTAAAGGAACATACTTTATATAATTTCAATCCTTTTAGTTTGTTGAGGTTTAAAGCCTGCAATTACAAAGAATGTGTACTCTGCCATTGTTGAGTGAAGTGTTCTATAAATGTCGATTAGATCATGTTGGCTTATAGTATTGGTAAATTCTATATACTTGGTGGTTTTCTTCTAACTGTTCTATCAATTACTGAGACAGAGTTGTTGAAGTAACTACAAATGTGGACTTATCACTTTCTCCTTTCAGTTCCATCAGTTTTTGCTTCATATATTGTGGATCTCTGTTGTTTGGTGCATATTCATTTAGGATTGCTGTGTCTTCTTGATGGATTAACCCTTTTATCATTGTAGACTAACTCTCTCTGTCTCTGGTAATTTTTTGTTGTTGTTCTGAAGTTGGCTTGATGTTATAGCCACTTCTGCTTTCCTTTTATTTATGCTTGCATGATATATCTTTTTTTCATCCTTTTACTTCCGGTCTGCCTCTATCATATTTGAAGTGAGTTTCTTGTAGACAGCATGTAACTGGGTAAGTTTTAAATCCATCCTGCCAAGCTCTGTCTTTTCATTGATGTTTAAACCATTTGCATTTAATGTAGTCACTGTTACGATAAAGCTTAAGTCTATTATTTTATTTTTTGCTTGCTGTTTCTGTTTTTCATCTCTCTGTTTTCTTTTTCCTGGTGTCCTGTGGGTCACTTGAACATATTCTAGAATTCCATTTTGATGTTTTTTTGAGTGCATTTTTTGCCATTGCTAATAGTCCCTCTAGACATTACATTATACATATGTACCTTATTAGTCTACTGGTGTTAACGTTTTACCATTTTGAATGAAGAATACAAATCTTACCTTTATGTCCCTTTATCTTCCCAGTTTATAGTTGTCATAAAGATTTCCTCTACATATGTTTAGAACCACATAAGCTGTTTCATAATTCTATAAAACACAATTCGGAAAAAACTTAAAAAGAGAAAGAAAACCTATTATATTTGCCCAAACTTTTGCTTACTGTGCTTTTTTCTGATGTTCCAAGCTTCATGCTTTTATCATTTCCTTACTGTTTATAGAATTTCCTTTAATAATTTTTTTTTTTTTTTTGAATTGGAGTTTCACTGTCGCCCAGACTGGAGTGCAGTGGCCACTCCCGGCCACCGCAGCCTCCACCTGCTGGGCTCTGGCGATCCTTCTGCCTCAGCCTTCTAAGTAGCTGGAACTACAGGCGTGCGCTACCGCGCCCGGCTAATTTTTGATTTATTGTAGAGATGAGGTCTCGCCTGCCCAGGCGGGTCTCGAACCCGCGGGCTTAATAATTTTTTTTAGGGTAAGTCTGCTGCTGATGAGTTCTTAATTTTCCTCCATTTTGAAATGTCTTGATTTCGCCTTCATTTCTCAAGGTATGGGATTCTGGGTTAACAGTTTTTTTCTTTTAGTACTTCAAAATACAGTGCCACTTTCTCTGGTCTCCAGGTTTCTGGTCATAAATCTACTGTCATTCTAATTGCTTTCCCCCATAGGTAAGCTGTTGATTTTATTTGGCTGTTTCTGGGGTTGTGTCTTTAGTTTTAAGATGCTTATTTATGAGGTAGTTGAACATGAATTTTGTTGGGTTTATCCTGTTTGGGATTTCTTCAACTTCTTGAATCCGTAGGCTGTTTACAAATTTGGGAAACTTACAACCATTATTCTCAGTCTCTTTCATGACAGAAATGTTAGCTCTTTGTTATAACCCCATAGGTTTCTGAGGCTCTGGTATTCTGTTCATCTTCTCTGACTGAATAATTCCTGTTGTTAATAATCATCCATCTCACTGATTATTTCCTTTTATACTGCTATTGAGCATATCTACTGAGCTTTTTATTTTGGTTATTGTATTTTTATTTCTAATATTTTCATTTGTTCTTGAAAAGTGTCTATATTTTGCTGAGGCTTTCTCTTTTTTTATTTATTTCAAGCATGCAATTGCTTTCTGAAGCATTTATGTCATGACTTCTTTAAATATCTTTTTCAGATAATCTAACGTCACTGTCATCTCAGTGTTATCATTTATTGATGATCTTTTTCTACTCACTTGATATCTTCCTGGTTCTTGATATGACTGATTTATTTTGAAGCCTGGACAGTTTCATGTCATAAGACTCTGGGTCTCATTTAAGCCTTCTCTTTTTCCTGGCTCCTTCTGCTGGCTCTTGGCAGGAGATGGGGATGCCACCTTGTTACCATCAAGTAAAGGTAGACAACCAAGTTCCCTGCTAAGCCTTCACTGACACTCTGGGGGGCTCCTTTTTACTGCTACTTCGGACTTGGGAGTCTGACTTCCTTTTTTTTTTGAGTTGGAGTCTCACTTTTGTTGCCCAGGCTGGACCACCGCAGCCTCGACCTGCTGGGCTCTGGAAATCCTTCTGCCTCAGCCTTCCAGGATGAGGGTGGGACCACAGCTTTTTCAACTGGGGGTGGAACCACAGCTTTTTCAACTACAGATGCACGCCACCATGTCCAGTTAGTTTTAGTAATTTATTATAGAGACGAGGGCTCACCAAGTTGCTCAGGCTGGTCTCGAACCTGCAGACTCAGGCAATCCTCTCGCCTTGGCCTCCCAAAGTGCTGGGATTACAGGCCTGGAGTCTGGCTTCCCATATGGTCTCTACTGACACCAGGAGGGCAGGGGAGTTGTTACCAGCTGGTGATAAGAAAGCCCCAGCTACCTGTGTGGTCCTCCCTGAGGTGCCACTCCTGGGACGCTGTTATAGCCTGGTGAGATAGAAGTTTGAGCTCCCCACTCAGCTTCTGCTGGCCTTGCTGAGGGTGGGACCACAGCTTTTTCTGTGGTGTTTGGCTGGACTCGGGCAATTATTGTCTGGCTGTTTTATTCTTCCTAGGCTGCTTTTTTAGCCAAAGAGAGCAGACTTTCATTGGGGCTATTTTTGTTAGTACTTGTCATGACTTCTGGATTGCTAGACCATTCAGCTCCGTGTCTGGAATGTATAAGGCAAAAGAAAACCCAGAAAACACCTCCATGCCATTCCTCAAGCCCCAAGGTCACTAATTGGTCTGTCGTCTTCTCTCTTTGTAGGTCTGCTTTATATCTAATGTCCACAGTTCTTAGCTATACTTACTGGGAGGAATAGGGAAAAATATATCTACTCTACGTCAAATTTTTAAATGTTCCTAGGTGAGTGTAACATACAGTGAGGGCTGAGAATCATTAGACCACTGAACTTGGTTCAGATAACCCCAACTTTAGGCTGTCATTTAGAGTAGCCTTCGTAAAGTTGACTGCTGTCCCCTTAAAGGGACATAATGCTGTCCTTTTGACCCCTACCTCTGCCCAGCCCCATGTGAGGCAAGGTTATCTCACTAACGGTAAGCCGACAACGGTTGTGAGGGGATTACTAGAACTGTCAAGACAGCAAGACATTTACTCGTGGGGGCGGACTGGGGTACACACAAAGGCTTCTTTTGCAGCTGGCAGTGCTCTGGGCATTGTTACCTTAAGCTGTGCGTTTGTTTTGTATGGCTTTCTGCATCTGTCTCGATTTACAATTTTTGTCTCATTTTTCCAGATAATTATTTAGGGTACTGACCTTCTGTTGAGTGCCCTTTGCGGCATCTAACTGCGGCCGTTGTGTCTGTAGGTCTTAGCCCCACGGAGCTGCCGTTCGATTGCCTTGAGAAGACCAGCCGAATGCTCAGCTCCACGTACAACTCCGAGAAGGCCGTGGTGAAGACATGGCGCCACCTGGCCGAGAGCTTTGGCCTGAAGCGGGATGAGATCGGGGGCATGACCGACGGCATGCAGCTCTTTGACCGCATCAGCACGGCGGGCTACAGCATCCCCGAGCTGCTCACAAAACTCGTGCAAATCGAGCGGCTGGATGCCGTGGAGTCCTTGTGTGCAGACATCCTGGAGTGGGCAGGGGTCGTGCCACTGGCCCCCCAGCCGCCCACTGCGTCCTGAGGAGCACGCCTCGAGCTGTCCTCCCGGCACGAGCTGTGAGTGGTGCCGACAGACTGCCGATCACCTCGGCTTCCCTGGTGTATCACCACGTGCCTCAGGCTGTTCAAGGCACCAGAGGACATGCAGCCCGGCTTCCAATCTAACCAGAGAGAGAGGACTAAAGCCAGGATACCCCCAGCTGCCACCTGTACCTCACCAGGCAGAGCAAATATTTATTCATTCGTCCAGCCCACCAGCCGCCACTCACGCAAACAAGAGTCGCTGTTGGGTGTTCAAAGCATGTGGGAACGACAGAGGTAGAGAGTCTGGTCCCTGTCTTGAAGGCCTCTGCACTCCACTGGGAGACAGCAGGAGGTATGTTTACAGACCCCTTTGCCAGAAGACATCCAACAAGCGGAGTGAAGCGGTGCTACGAAGACATAACAGAAGTTCCAAGGGGTGACGCTTGGCGCCGGCAGCGTGAAAGTGCTGGTAAAAGGCTACAAAAGGCAGACGACCCCTCCGTGCATTGTTTCAGGTTCCAGCCCCTGCGGCTTCATTAGGCTGTCTTTGCCTATCCTTGAGGTCCTCCATGTTCCTACAGGCCTCCCAGCCAGCAACGGAAGAGCTCACTTTGACCCGCTCTGTGTTGGCAAAATGCAAGGCACGTGCATGTCCCATCAAGGTGTGCGCAGTGGCCAGTTTCACTTACTGCGCGATTCCCAGGCCTGGAAACCTGTGGTTTTGAGTCATGTGGGAACAGCCTTCCACCCTCATCCTTTCAGGCAGATGCGACCTTTGGGGGCCGCAATGCTCCAGGACAGAGCGGTTTAGGTTATAAGGTGTCAGGCTAGTTTTTGTTTCCGAGAGATAGGAGTGGTCCACTCTGCTTAGAAAGAGAAACGATGGCTTCCTAAGAGTTCAGCTGTGCATAATCCTAGGTTTCGAGAGGCTGAGACCTGTGTGACAAGCCCATGGTGTGAGAGTTTCAGAAGCCGCCTTCAGAGCCAGCCAGGGAAAGGGGAGCCCTGACAGGCCAGCGAGAGCCTGGGCTTGGGCTCCTTCTTCCTCCCTCGGCTTCAGCTTCTCTACTGCAAACGAGACGCTAGTCGGCGACCAGAGGAAGCAGGGTTCAGGTGAACCCGAGGAAGGAGGAGCTGTAGGAAATGCCAGGCCTCCGTGACTCCATGGAAGCACACGCTGGATGGGTCGTCAAGTAAAACGAGAACAAAACCAGAAACGCTCAGACTTGGCATTTTCACAGCAACTGCAATGGTGTGACATAACGTTTATGGAGAGAAAGCTAGTAAGCTGGCATTGTTCGGGGCAGTCTCTTGCCACACCTGCATTGCCGAGAGCTCAGGGACCAGGGTGGTAGATCACCTGGGGGTTAATGCAGGGTTCCCTGCCGAGCTCCCTGATGACAGTCTGACTGTGGTCACGACTGGGTTAAAACAAAGTCTCTGACTGAGAAGGTGAAGTTTGTAAAAACTGCAAGTCGCATGACTGAACAAATGCTTTGGGGCAAAATCAGTCACATCTTCCTTTAACGCCGACAAGCAATTTCCCGTTAATGAATGTAGCTCATACTGTGAGAGGATCACAATTAGGTCCTGAATATTTAAAATCATCATTTACTGAGTCTGTTTGCTGCTGTTTTTCATAACCTATCTGGTATATCCAGCGAGCTAGATACTCCATGGCAAAGCTTAATCGTCCTCGTAATTCCTCTTTGAAATCCTGCGGGGGGCGGGGTGGCCTTCCCTCTGCTTTGTGGGAAAGACGGCGAGCGTCTCCCCTGAGTGAGACCGCAAGTGTCACTTGTGCCATCCCGGGGTCACAGTTGGCACCCTCCCTAAAACAGCACCGTCAGTGAAGGAGGGCGTGGCTGCTCTCCAGCCCGGGTGCTTTGGCCTCATTTCACGCCCTTGGAATTCTGGGGCCATAGGGCCAGCCAGCATCAGTCCACGTCCCGCTGGCTCTCAATCTGCGTCTCTAGGAAGTTAGTCCGCATGCAGTTTCACACTCATTTACTATTTGGAAACATGTGGTTAAGGAGCTTTGGCATATATTATAGAATTCAAAATACATTAGGCCCTGGTAATTCTCACTGACCAGAGCTAGGACTCCACCCTGCCATTTGTATATGATGACAGTCATGATTTTTCAATGCTTAAAAACATTTAGAAACCATTTCAGCGTAGGTCAGTGGCCCCTAGCCGGTGAAGTCTTGTCAATATTTTCGTCTAATTCTGTATATATAACTTATTCTATTTTATAATCTCAATAAACACTAATAAAAAGGAGATCTACAGACTGCCACAGTGTGTGCTCTGTGTGTTCATGGGGCCAAGGCCTGAGTGGAGAAGGGTCTGATTGCTCTGCCCCTGGTGATGGCATGGTGTACGCTGAGACATTGCGACCAGCTGTAAATGAAATGCCCAAAACGTTATGGCCTGGGCCATTCACTTGGCAGAGCCGATATGACAGGGAGGTGATGTGAAAGGCACCCAGAGCTTTGCTTTTCAAGCTGCCATCATTCGATCGTAAGGCACCGTATCACTCAGCTACTACAGTGCAACAAACCATCTCAACATTTTTTTCTTTTTTTTGAGTTGGAGTCCCGCTCTGTCACCCAGGCTGGAGTGCAGTGACATGCTCACGGCCACCCCAGCGTCGACCTGCTGGACCCCAGCGATCCTTCCACCTCAGCTTTCCAGGTGGCCAGAACTATAGGCACGTGCTGTCATGCCGGCTCGCTTCTGATTTATTGCAGAGATGAGGTCTCGCCAAGTTGCCCGGGCCGGTCTCATCTCAAACCCCGGGCTCAGGGAATCCACTCGCCTTAGCTTCCAAAGTGCTGGGATTACAGGCTGAGCCACCAAGCCCGGTCCGTCTCAACATTTAACAGCTCAAAGCAACGACCATTTATTATTGCAGCTCAGGAGTCAGCGGGGTCAGCTGACCTAGCTTGGGCTCAGCCGAGTGCCTGCAGGAACGCCAAAGCTGGAGCAGCTCTACTCCGTCATCTCTGTCAGCCTACAGAACAGACAGAGGCTCTCTAAAGCAAAATTGCATTTATTTGGGAATAGGGTGTTGCCATGCGAGTATGTGTGCTAGCAAATGACGTGTGTATTCAGGGAGGCAAATGAAGACAAAGATTTTTAAAGGAAAAACAAAGAGGATTACACAAGTGCTCAAATATCATTGTCCTTGGCTACCAGGACGCATAACAAGGGTGGTGCCCATCCAAGGCTGGACAGGCAGTTGCTAGGCAGATGTTTGTGATGTGTGTAACATTGCAATGGCCTTTGTGTAAGGTTGCGATTTTTTTTCAGAGTTCTCTGTGATCGTTCTTGTCACCTGTCATTTACACATGAGAACCCTCTCTCCGTGGCCTTCCCTGCTCTCTTTGTCAGGGCTTTAAAAAAAAACAAAACGAGCCAGGCTCGGTGACTCAGCCTGTAATCCCGCGCCTTGGGAGGCTGAGATGAGTGGATTGCCTGAGCCCGTGGGTTCGAGACCCGCCTGGGGAACTCTACAATAACTCAAAAAATTAGCCGGGCGTGGTAGCACGTGCCTGTAGTTCCGGCTACTCGGAAGGCTGAGGCGGAAGGATCGCCGGAGCCCAGCAGGCGAGGCTGCGGTGGCCGGGAGCGGCCACTGCACTCCAGTCTGGGCGACGGAGCGAGACTCCAACGAAAAAAAATAAAAATTAAAACAAATAAAACACAAGTGGCCCTTTTTCATTCTGACAGCATTCACATTTCCCCCTCTGCATCAAGACCTTTCTCTGAAGGCAGCCCCAGTCAGACACCCCATAGGCTTTGAGCCCCTCGGGGCTAGGATGGGCCTTCCTGGATGGCTAGTCCGGTTCCATGCTGGACGGAGTGACTGGCAGTAGGAGTCAGCGTCAAGCCCCTTCAGCCACACCGCAGCAAGAAGGGAGGTTTGGAAGGACCCCCAGACCCGCCCTCTCCAGTGGCAGGGCCTCAGCATGGCTGCTGCTGCCCTCTCTGGTGGGGTGTGAGCACTGCCCCACCCCTTCACCACAGCGGGGGCCTTCGGTCGCTGTGGAGAGCCGTGAGCACAAGCCCACCCAGCCTGGCATCACCTGCCTCGCTGCTGAGACACAGGACAAAGCCCAGGGTCCGGGGCCGACCCAACCCATCTGCCACTTTGGGCACCCGGGCATTCCTCCAGCAACCTTGGGTTGGGCCTGAACTCCCAGCGGCCACCGTCTCACCTGGCACCCACCTGCAAACATCACCTGTGGGCTTGGAGATTCCCACTCAGCCCACGGCAGCCCCTGCCAACCTCGGCACACGCTGCTCAGGACCCAGAGACCCGCCCTGCCACTGCTGCTGCCATCAGCCACACCATGCTGGCTACCCGAGGGCCTAAGGACCTTGGCCACCCAGTCCCCCCCGCCACTACCAGCATGTCAGCCTGCCGATAACTTCCAACACAGGTGCCGGTGTACACTGCCCTGGAGCACAAAGACAGGCGCGGTCAGCCCAACGCCGTCGCCACTGGGCCTGAAGACGGGCCCGCCTGGCATCCCAGGCCTCAGCACATCTTCACCACCACTTCCACTCATAACCACACCTGAACCCACAAAGGAAATCACAGATGCCATTCACGCTGTTTACAGCCAAATAAATCACACAGAGATTGCACTACTGCACACACCCAGAATCAAAGCCAAAGTACCCGACTCGACCAAAAGCCCAGACTCACCTTCAGGAAAAAGTTCTCTCCTATTAAGGCAAATTTTAAAATAGAAACAAGTAACTCTTACACCAGAAGTGACCGGATATAAACATAAGGAAACAGGAAACAGGAAAGAACAAGAAAATATGACACTTCCAAAAAAAAACCACACACACAATAATTCTCCAGCAATAGATCTTAATCAAAAATAAATTTTAGAAATCCAAGACAAACAATTAAAAATAGCAGCCAGGTACAGTTGTACATGCCTGCAGTCCCACATTTTGAGAGACTGAGGCAGGAAAATTGCTTGAGGACAGGAGTTCAGAAGCA